AATTGACAGATAAACAATGCTTTAAACGTCAACTGTCATGGAACATATTCCAACTGTTCAGAGTTGTACTTATTCAAATGTCAAATTGAAATCGTCTTGATGCAAAAATTGCATTACAATTCAAAATTTGTTTATTATTCCAGGCTCTTAGAAGAAAATTTGAAAAAGTGTTCTAAAAGTGTTGCTCTCATTGCACTCGGAGTGCACTTTTTCTGACAAATGACAGATAAACAATGCTTTAAATGTCAAATTGAAATTGTCTTTATGCAAAAATTCCATTACAATTAGAAATTTGTTTTTTATTCCAGGCTCTTGAGAGCGAGTCAAATTTTCTTTGAAAAAGTACAAATTCTAGAAGAGTTGCTCCTATTGCACTCGGAGTGCACTTTTTCTAACAGTTGACAAATAAATAATATGCTTTGTGGAACGTGCACCAACTGTTCGGAGTTACATTGATTCAAATATAAAGTTGAAATCACTATACAAAATCTGTTTTTATCCCAGGTTCTTGAAGGCGAGCAAAATTTTTTTTTGGAAAACAATGATTTATGAAACGTGCACCAACTGTTTGAAGTTGCACTGTTCTAAATGTCAAATTGAAATCGTCTAGGAGGCAAACCTTTCATCAAAATTCAAATTCCAAGCTGTTGAAAGCGAGTAAAAGAAAATTTGAAAAAAAGGATGAGTTACTCTTATTGCATTCGGAGTGCACTTTTCCTGACAGTTGACAGATAAACAATACTTTGTGAAACGGGCACCAACTGTTCGGATTTGCACCGATTTCAATGTCAAATTGAAATCATCTTGATGCCAAAATTTCATCACAATTTCAAATTTGTTTTTTATTCCAGGCTGTTGAAAGCAAGCAATTTTTTTTTTTTAAAGTGCAATTTTTAGAAGAGTTGCTCTTATTGTACTGGGAGTACACTTTTACTGACAGTTGACAGATGAACGATGTTTTTTGAAACTTGCACCAACTCTTCGGAGTTGCACTGATTTAAATGTCAAATTGAAATCGTCTTGATGCAAAAATTTTATCAAAATTTGTTTTCTATTCCAGGCTTTTGAAAGCGAATCATATTTTTTTTTTTTAAAGTGCGAATTCTAGAAGAGTTGCTCTCATTGCACTCAGAGTAGTTGACAGATGAACAATGCTTTGTGAAACATGCACCAACTGTTCCAGGCTCTTGAAAGCGAGCAAATTGTAGAAAAATTTTACTCTCATTGCACTCGGAGTGCACTTTAGATCAAATGTCGTAAAACATGCACCAACTGTTCGGAGTTGCACTGGTTTTAATGTCAAATTGAAATCGTCTTGATAAAAATTTCATTAAAATTTGAAATTATTTAGCTCTTTTAAGTAAGTATTAAATCGAGTTAGTGCAAATAGAACAGAATTAGAACAGTCAAAGTAGTTCGGACACTTGAACAGATCAAAAAAGAGTCAGTGCACTTGGAACAGTCGGAGTAAAATAACTAAAAACCTAAAATTAATTGTCAAATTAGCCTACTGTTATAGTGTATAATTTCATTGTTTAGTAGCATATTAGAGTAGTTCGAACAGTAAAAATCAGAGCAGTGCAAAAAGCACAGAGTTACTTTAGATGGAACAGAAATTGAAGCAATTGGAACACTTGCAGTAACTCGCACAGTAAAAAGAATTCAAATAGAATTAATGCAGGTAGAAAAATTATTAAAAACTCAAAATTAATTTTCAAATCAGCCTACTGTTATAGTGAATAAATTCATTGTTTAGTAGCATATTAGAGTAGTTTGAACAGTTACAATGGGAGCAATGCAAAGAGATCAAAGTTATTGCTCAAAGAATAGAACGAATTCAATTAGAAATAATGCAGATGGAATACTTAGAGTAAATCGAGTTAGTGTAAATGGAACAGAATCAAAACAGTTAAAGTAGTTCGGACAGTTGAACAGATCAAAAAGAGTCAGTGCACTTGGAACAGTCAGAGTAGAATTACCAAAAATCCCAAATTAATTTTCGAATCAGCTTACTGTTATAGTGAATAACTTTATTGTTCAGTAGCATATTAAGTTTGTTTGGACTTAGTTCAGAATCAGTTCTGAATTGATCTGCGCTTGCGTATTTATTCATATCGAACATAAATAAACAATTGCGCATGCTCAGTTTAATTCAGAACTGATTCTGAACTAAGTCCGAACAAACCTATTAGGGTAGTTCGAACAGTAAAAATCAAAGATTGCAAACAGAATACAGTTAGTGTGAATGAAACAGAAATTAAAGCAATTGGAACACTCAGAGCAACTCGAGCATCGACAATTGGCAGATAAACAGTGTTTTAAGCGTTCACTATCACGGAACATGCAGCAACTGTTCGGAGTTGCTCTGATTCATAATGTCAAATTAAAATCGTCTAAATTTTCATTAGATTCACTGCCTCTAAGATATCGCTTAGAGCAATAATTTGGTCGTGGTTCAACATAAAAAGGTTTTTGCATTGCACACATGGAACATGTTTCAATTGTTCGGAGTTGCACTGATTCAAATGTCAAATTGAAATCGTCTTGATGCAAAAGTTCCATTACAATTCAAAATTTGTTCTGTATTTCAGGCTCTTGAATCTTTTTGTTTGAAAAAGTACATGTTCTAGAAGAGTTGCACTCGGAGCGCACTTTTTCTGTCATTTGACAGATAAGCAATGCTTTAAACATCAACTGTCATGGAACATGTTCCAACTGTTCGGAGTTACACTGATTAAAATGTCAAATTGAAAATTTCATCACAATTCAAAATTTGTTTTTATTCCCGGTTCCTATTTTTTTTTTTGAAAAAGTGTAAATTCTATTAAAGAATTGCTCTCATTGCAGTCGGAGTGCACTTTTTCTGACAGTTGACAGATAAACAATGCATTATGAAACGTGCACCAACTGTTCGAAGTTGCACCGATTTAAATGTCAAATTGAAATCGTTTTGATGCAAAAATTCCCTTAGAATTTAAAATTTGTTTTATATTCCAGGCTCTTGAAAGCGAGCAAATTTTTTTTTGAAGATGTACAAATTCTGAAAGAGTTGTTCTTATTGCACTCGGAGTACACTTTTTCTGATAGATGACAGATAACGAATGCTTTGTGAAACGTGCACCAACTGTTCAGAGTTGTACTGATTTAAATTGCACTAGGAGTAAAATTTTTCTGACAGTTGACAGATAAATAATGCTTTGAACGTCAACTGCCACAAAAATCTGTTCTAACTGTTTGGAGTTGTACTGATTTAAATGTCAAAATGAAATCGTCTTGATGCAAAAGTTTCATTACAATTCTTTATTCCAGGCTCTTGAATCTTTTTGTTTGAAAAAGAACATGTTCTAGAAGAGTTGCACTCGGAGCGAACTTTTTCTGACAGTTGACAGATAAACAATGTTTTAAACGTCAACTGTCAGGAAACATGTACCAACTGTTTGGAGTTGCACTAATTTTAATTTCTAATTGAAATCGTCTAGAGTGCATAAATTTCATTACAATGCAAAATTTGGCTCTTGAATGCGAGCAAAGGAAATTTTGAAAAAGTACCATCGTCACCAAAAGTATCTGGGACAAAAATAATCCATGATAATCTCCTGGACTAATTCTACTGTCATTCATTTCAATAGTTTGAAAAATATTTGACAATAAAATTCATATAATAGTACAAGAGCTAATATGATGCTGTCCCAGTTTCTTTTGGTGACGATGGTACATATTCCAGAAGAGTTACACTCGGAACGCACTTTTTTTGATAGTTGACAGATAAATAATGCTTTGAACGTCAACTGTCACGAAACATGCACCAACTTTTCGGAGTTGCACTGTTTTGAATGTCAAATTAGAATCGTCTTGATGAAGAATTTTATTACAATTTGAAATTTGACACTTGAAAGGGAGCATCAAATTGAGTTAGTATAAATAGGACAGAATTGAAACTGTTAAAGTAATTCGGATAGTTAGAGTTCGTTTTTGTCATCTTTTTCGTCAATTTGCTCCGAAATTTTGACAGGCACGTGACTGGATAAGACAGTTTCAGCTTACAAATCAGGTGCCTGTCAAAATTTCGAAGTAAAACGACGAAAAAGATGGCAAAAACGAACTAGGCCGCACTTGGAACAGTCAAAGTAGAATTACTATGATCCCAAAATTAATTTTCAAATCAGCTTACTATTATCTATTATAGTGAATAAATTCATTATTTAGTAACATATTGGAGTAGTTTGAAAAGTAATGATCAGTGCAGTACAAACAGAACAAAGTTAGTGCAGATGGAAATAGTGAATAAATTCATTGTTCAGTAGCATGATAGAGCAGTTCAAACAGTATAGTAATCAGAGCATTGCAAACAGAATGGAGATAGTGCAAATGAAACAGAAATTAAAGCAATTAGAACACTCAGAGTAACTCGAGTATTGACAATTGGCAGATAAACAATGCTTTAAACGTCAAATGTCATTAAACATGCACCAACTGTTCGGAGTTGTACTGATTTGGATATCCAATTGAAATCGTCTAAAACTTCATTACATTTTTATTTCCTTTGAAAGTCATCGAACATGAATCAAAGATTTGGAGTTACACTAATTGATAAAAATATTTGTCAAATTGAAATCGCTTAGAGCAATAATTTGATCCTAATTCAATAGAAAGGTTTTTGCATTAAAACTGCATTAAATAATCACTCTAAAATTCATTAAATTTGCACCAACTGTTCGGAGTTGCTTTGATTTATTTATCACTAAAAACTTTTGAATAGTTTGAATGGACAAAACAACAAAATCCACGAATGTTTTTATCAAGGACTCCGGTTTTTTGAAAACGCCTTTAGAGTTCCGAACGCACCCTTAATTTCATTACAAAAATGTCAAATTATTGTAAAAGTTTCCACTAAATTTACAACAGAAAATTAGATTTTGCTTTCAAAAAATCTCACAAATAACGATAAACGACAGTAAACAGCGTCTCGAAATAAAGACGAAACTAACGCGATTACGTTTTTATTGAATTTCAGGAACGATCGGGAGCGATTTTCGAAACTTTGCGTCGCGGAAACTGGAAACTGCCGTTTACCAGGTAAGACTTTTTAAAATCTGTTAAGTTGATTTAATGCAATCGAACATAGTTGGCTATGGATTTTGTGAATAGCAACGTCGGCTGAATGCAATCAGATCTGTCACCTAGATTGCATTTGACTGATGTTTCTAAATCAAGTCCTTATCGAGAAAAAAATTGTTTTTTTATTGATTTAGGAAAACGCCTAAGTGAAAATGTACATCCTTGTTCTTCTCATCACCTTGAAGCAAGATAGCGATACAATCTACTTAACGAAAACGATACAACTGTCTTTCTCATTTGTAAATGAAAACTTAAATAAATAAGACAAAGAAGCCTAATTTTTATTCATCATAGAATTCTATACTTAATCCTCATCTGTCGAATCGAGACTATCTGAAATAGTACTATCAGTCCACGGCCTACTATAGTACAATTCTTCGAAGTCGCCTTCGAGTGGCACGAAATATTCCTCTTCGATTATTTGCAAAGAGGCCGATGGCAATTTTAATCTTCTTTTCGGCTGTTGGGAATTACAGCAACTTGGATTGTCTTTTGAAGGAATTTTATCTTGATTTTCTGAAACACAAAAATTAAGTAACGTCGGTTGAATGCAATTTGATTAAGTTGGCCATTTTACCTTTAACTTTTTTTCCCCCAAGTCTTTTTTCGATTTTCTTCACGATTTCAACTGTCATTTCTTCGCGGGCTTTTTTCGTTTTCAATTTTAATTGTTTCCGTTCTTCTTTGGCCCGGTCGCCGGTTTCCTCGAGCGATTTAGCCAAAGCGTCGAATTTTCCGTTGAGCATTTGGATGAATTGATTTTCGATTTGCGGAAAATGTTTTTCGGCGATTTTGCGCGCCTGCGCTTTAGCGATTTTGTTTAGTTCCGTTTCGTTACAGGTTTCTGTAATGTTTTTATTGCAGTTTTCTGCACTTTTGACTTGTTTTTTCTTGTTTTGGTTTGTTTTTGTTGCTGTTTGTTTTGGTTTGTGAACATTTTCTTCTTTATTTGAATGTTTATCGATAATTTTGCTATTTTTTTGCTTTTTCTTCTCGTCTTCTTTTAATTTTTTGTTAATATTGTGGCAATAATCTCCGCTTCCATTTTCTGTAAAATTTGAATGAGGTTTTATTCGATTCTTGACTTTTTTCTCATCTTTGGGACTTTTTTTCTGTATTTTGTTTAATTTTTCATCGTTTTTGGACGCTTTTAAACGCATTTCGGGCGAGCTTACGGGAATTTTAACAGCAGGAAAAAATTTATTGCGTGGCATTTGAGTGTCAAACTGTTTGACAAATTGATGACGATTTGTCTTGGTTCCGTTTGACAGGGTTAGACAAAGACAGGTGACGCGATACCAACTTAAAATTACAAAAAATCAAAGTTAGTTTTTGAAAGTTGATTTTCTTGTGTTATTTTCTTGTGAATTAATTTGAAATTTCAATATGATAAGGTCCTTCTCTTCTTTTTTTTACCCTAGAAGACTGAATGCAATCGAATAATTAGTTGGCCATGGATTCTGTAAACAGTAACGTCGGCTGAATGCAATCACATCTTTCAAGATAATAAAAAAATTGACGCCGTCTGTTGACTGTTCTGATAGTTATCGACGTACCTCCTTGTCTTTTTCATTACGTTGAAGTATAATAGCGATACAATTTGCTTAAAGAAAACGCTACATATTTTGGGTTTTGCTGAAAGAAAGCACCGTAATTGTCTTTCTCATTTGTGAAGAAAAACTTAGATAAATAGGATAGAAAAGGAAAAACACTTTTTTTCGCCTCCTAGTGGATAAAATATCAATTATTAAAAAAAAATGATAAGGTCCTTCTATTCCTTTTTCCACCCTAGAAAACTGAATTCAAACGAGTTATAGTTGGCCATGGATTGTGCAAACAATAACGTCGGCTGAATGTCTGATTGCATTCAGCCGTCTGTCAATATTTTTTTAAAAAAATGGCGCCATCTATCGACCGTTTTGATAAGTATTGAAGTACATCCTTGTCTTTCTCATTGCATTGAAGTAGGATAGCGATAGAATCTGCTTAAAGAAAACGCTACATATTCTAGGTTTTGCTAAAAGAAAACGCTGTAATTGTCTTTCTCATTTGTTAAGGAAAACTTATATGAATAGGACAAAGAAGGAAAACACTTTTTTTGCGCCTCCTAGCGGATAAAATATCAATTAATGATTCAAAGGGCTGATGACAGTTGTCATTTGTCTTGTTCTCGTTTGACAGATGACGCAATAGATCAATTTGATTAAATTCAATATGGCGACGTGGGAACAACACACCTGAAAACCGTAAAGGCGCGTTTACATTCAAATGGCATGTAATATTCAAAGTTGAGTTGTAGAGGGCGCTTCCGTACTTGGAGCTTTTCAAATTGTGGTGCGTATCAATGATATATTCGTATAGATTTGGCCTCAAGAAATACGAGAAAAATACCTAAAAAATTCTTATGTCAAATTTGACAGCTGTCAATGTCAAAAATATGACAAGCAGAAACAAATTCCAAAATTATCCTACGTCTTGCCTATAATTTTTTTAATCAATTTTTACAGAACCTGTCAAAAAAAAATTGACAGCTGTCATGCGACCGGAATTTGTGTCAATAGGGTCGTTCGCCTTTCCTTCCGCTTTACTATAGAAACTACAACCACCAAACTCGGTGCATAACTATTATTTGACTTGGGCTACCTGTCAGTGTCAAGAAAATTTGACAGCTGTCAACGTCAAGGAATTTTTTTATAATTTTCGATAAAAAAAATTTTCGATGGTCGGAAAACGTTTCTCCGACCCCAAAAACCCTAAAAAAAAAAATTACCATTGACTTATGTCAAAACATGCCAGCTTGACAAGGTCAAACGTCTCTTTTGATACATGTCAAATTTGCAAGATGCGTTCGGATAGAATTTTTACGCTCGACATTTTGGCGATATTGGCAGATGTCATCTGTCAAATCTGACACATGTTTGCCTCTCTCCTCGCTCTACCATGCAAGCTACGACCACCAAACTTGGTACATGACCGATGTATGCCGCGAACTATCTGTCAGTTTCAAAAAATTTTGACAGCTGTCAACGTCAAAAAAGTTTTTTTACAATTTTTCGTTTTTCAGAAAAAAAAAGGCGAATAACGATACCCCGACCTTAAAAACCCGACATAAAAAATCCCATCGATATAGGTCAAGAATTGACAGCCAAAAACGTGATTTTTTTGAAATAATGTCAAATTTCAATGACGCCCTCAAGTATGAGTTTTGCTTTGTCTCTCGACACTTTGTTGACAATAACAGATGCCATCTGTCATCATATCATATCTCTGCTTGTCATATTTTTGACGTTGATGATGGAAAATTTTTAGTATTTTTTACGTATTTTTCGAAGTCGAATCTAAATGACTATGTAGTTATGATTAGTGATTTATAGAAAAAAATATTACTCACTGGAGTGATTTGACACCTGTCAAAAAATTTTTTTTCACCAAACTTAAATGTTTTTGAAAAATAAATAACCGAGAGTAATTTTAATAGGCTAATTTGAATATTAGATTTGGATTTCCAGTAATTCTACTATGACAGTTCCAAGTGCACTGACTTTTTGATCTGTTCAACTGTCCAAATTACCTTGACTGTTTCAATTGTTTCATCTGCACTAGCTCGATTTAAATTACTCTAAGTATTCCATCTGCATTAATTCTGATTGAATTCCTTCTATTGTTCGAGCTACTCTAAGTGTTCCAATTACTTCAATTTCTGTTCCATCTGCACTAACTTTGTTCTGTTTGCACTGCTCTGATTGTTACTATTCGAACCACTCTAATAAGCTACTAAACAATGAATTTGTTTGATTGATCTGTTTAATTGTCCGAATTACTTTGATTGTTTTGATTCTGTTTGTATTAACCCGATTTAAATTAGCTACTCTAAGCATTCCAACTGCATTAATTCCATTTAAATTCCTTCTATTGTTCGAGTTACTCTAAGTGTTCCAATTGCTTTAATGTCTGTTCCATCTGCACTAACTCCGTTCTAAATTTGCATTGCTCCGATTGTTACTATTCGAACTACTCTAATATGCTACTAAACAATGAATTTATTTACAATAACAGTAAGTTGATTTGAAAATTAATTTTGGGTTTTCAGTATTTCTACTCTAACTGTTCCAAGTACACGGATCCTATTCAGAACCAATTTGGAACTAGTTCGAAATTATCATAGAGCCAACCTAAACTACCCCAAACAATCGGAGTGAACAAGGATTACACACGTAGAGTGCCTAATCATAAACGAAATAAGTATTTTAATTTACTTCAAACGAAAATTAAAAACAATAAAGAACAGAATCGCACAGAACTGGTAGAACTAATTTAAAGTCAATCCAGAACCGATTCTAACAGAACCGCAGACACGAACTCAACTGAATCCGGAACAGGAACTAACTGTTTGTTATTATTTCTTTAAAATCGATAGAACTAGCTCTCAATCCATCCAGAACTGATTCTATTTGAACTGTGAACAATGAAACAGGCTAGGATTTTGTCTTACTCCGAACGATTTCGGAACAAAAGAAACTCAGAATCGAGTCGTTCTAAAGTGTCAGTTCAAACTGTACTAGTGCTATTTTTCGACGAAAGAAAACGTCAAATAATAATTGTTCTGGGATTTATCTTACTCCAAATTATTGATATTTTTCATGGAACACCAACTCTATTTGCATTGCAGTGAATCACATTCCTTTGAAACTAGTTCAAGTTTCTAGTACAGTGTATATTTAGTTGTTATAAATCAGTTCAGGAGTTTATTTTACTCTGAACTATTCCGGAAGAAGGAAAACTCAGAATCCGGAACCGTTGAACTACAATGAACTGTAATTAAAATATAATAATCCATAATTTCAACATGTGAATAATTTCGAATCAGTTCTGAAGTTTTTTTCGCAAAGTTATTTATAAGTTTGTTTACAGATCACATTCAGAAATAATAATGTGGAACTACAGAAGTTCACATTTGTCGTACAGAGCATATCTACCTACTCCGAACGATTTTGGAACAAGGAAATGTCATGAACGAAGTTGATTTGGAACCAATGAATTAAGAACGATGAACTGCAATACGGATCACATTATCCAGAACTGATTTGGAATTAGTTCAGGATTATCGTAGTGTAGGTAGAGTGTAGTGTAGTAATTGCTTTTCTTAGAACCGGTAGAATTAGTCTAAATCGATCCGGAACACATTTTTATTGAATTGCGAACAAGGAACTGTAATTTTAATCGGAATTCAGTTATCTGCGAACAATTTGAATCGGTTCCGCGTTTTACGAACTTAGTTATCAGTTTTGTTCGCGGATAACATTTTGAACCAATTCAAAAATTTGAATTTAATACAAACGATTTCGGAGCAGGAAAAGGAAAATTCAGAACTCTCCACACTATTGAATAAATTGTGAACAAAACCGAACAGAGCTGGTAGAATCAGTTCAGAGTCATTCCGATCCGATTTTAATGGAACTGCAGACATGAGTTCAACTGAATCCAGAACAGAAGCAATTTTTTTTTTTATCTGTTCTACTGCTCGAACTACTTTGACTGTTCTAATTCTGTTCCATTTGCACTAATTAGATTTAAGTTAGCCTAAGTATTCCATTTACATTATTTCTATTCGAATTTCTTTTATTGCTTGAGTTACTCTAAGAAAAACTGCTTTAATTTCTGTTCCATCAGCACTAACTCTGTTTTGTTTGCACTGCTCTGATTGTTTCTGTTCGATCTACTCTAATATGCTATTAAACAATGAATTTATTCAATGTAAGCTGATTTGAATTTTTTTTTGTGTTTTCAGTAATTCTACTCTGTTTGTTCCAAGTGTACTGACTTTTTTTGATCTGTTCAACTGTTCGAATTACTTTATTTTAATTTTGTTCCATTTGCACTAACTCGAACTAAATTACTCTAAGCATTTCATTTGCATTAATTCTATTTGAATTCCTTCTATTGTTCGAGTTACTCTAAGTGTTCTAATTGCTTGAATTCCTGTTCCATCTGCACTAATTCGGTTCCATTTGTTTTGTTTGTTACTGTTCGAATTACTCTAATAAGCTACTAAACAATGGATTTATTCACTATAAAGTAGGCTGATTTGGAAATTAATTTTGGGTTTTTTAGTTATAATTCTACTTTGACTGTTCCAATTCTGGTCTATTTGCTCTAACTCGATTTAAATTACTCTAAGCATTCCATTTGCATTAATTCTATTCGAATTCCTTCTATTGTTCAAGTCACTCTAAGGTCTCTAAGTGTTCCAATTGCTTTAATTTCTGTTCCATCTGCACTAACTCCGTTTTGTTTGCACTACT